TTTTTTTTCTGTTAAATGTGAACTCCATATTTATTTGTATTTTGCTTAATTTTAATTTAATTGAACTTAATACTTTTTTGTTGCTTAATTTTAACTTAATTTAACTTTTTTTGCCCTGTAAGCTGCTGGTAACCTTCATTTCCGGAGGGAGTCTTCCCAAGGGATCAATAAAGTTCTGTCTAGGTCTAAGTCTGAGTCTAAATCAGATCTGCAGCGATTTGGATATCTGGAGCTATTCCACACCTCTGTAAGGTGGGATTCTTTAATGCAACCATTACTCTATCCTCCTTTCTTACTCAGGCAGAGAAAAGCATTTAAGTTCGTGGTGGAAATAGGCTTTCTTTTTGCAAAATGTTTTTTGAAGGAACACAAAACGACTCATATTTCCTGGGATAAATTCTTTAATGAACACACCGCACTGAAATAAGAAGCTCGCCTAAAATACATTTCTCCAGCCTTAACACTTGACTTAGAAGTCGGGTCAAGTGTGTCCACAGCAATGCTCTGCAGGCATGGATCATGTCAGAGACAGAGCAGCCCGATGACACTGTCAACACTAACACAGACACGGACAGAAAGCTTTTCTTTAAACTATTTTTATTTAGATCTATTGAAAAAAAGTTGCACTTTTAAAATATTAGGCACACTTATAACGAAAGGTGCTAATATTTGCACGTTTCAACCAGCTTTTTGTGTTAGTATCTAACGCTCAATCAAACCTCTAACATTTCTTCCACACTATTATCAAATTTCTACCCATTCATGTAAAAAATAAAGTGTGAAAATTTTGAATTTACGACAATTTGGATACTTACGTAAAAAACGGGTCATCATCAAAGTCCTTCAGCAAGCTGTTAAACATGTTCACAGATTCACGACAAAAACAAAAATATTTTCCTCTTTAAACAGAAGTCCACCTTTAGTCCACCGCTTGACATAAAGTTAGAGAGTGAACTAGAGAACCAAAGTCACTCTGATATGAAGACGTCACGGAAATCCTGCACTCCTATTGGCTCTTGTTTAAAAACGGGTTTCATCCACGCGCTGTCTGTTGGGGGGCGGCTGCTATGGCAACGGCACTCCAGAAATTTCTTTTAAAACTCCTAGGGCTTATCAATCATGTGCATATTTCTAGAGTATTCCCTTTCCTTATCTAAATTTTGCACAAAGCGTTAATGTGAACCAACAGTCCTGAGCTTTACGTCAGAAAGGGATCGAGCAATTATAACTCATTTGGTTGATTTATTATTTAATTTGAAGTTTCTAAAAGTTTTTATGCACACCTAATTTGCAGAAACATCTACCCTCTGATTTTACAAATGCAAGTCAGCACTCATATAACCAAGTTTATGATGCATTTGATGTTTTTAGTAATTATTTCATTTTGACACCAACTGTCTGGAGACTATAATAGTGACGGCATGTCCCAGAGTCAGTATAGGTTTACCATCTGGATGCTCCACAAATAGCTGCATGGGTTGACTCATCTCCATCAATCTACCTCAACTAGCAACACAACACTGGGAAAACATAAACATACACACACACCCCATGCTTGAGTAAAAAGAGGAAAGTTTGCAGGAGGAGAGACCATTACTGTCAATGTGCAGGATTACAGTTGGCTTGGGCATGTGTGAATATCGATGTAGATCTATAAATATGTATTTGAACTAACATGTGACAACATTCCTGGGAATGCAAGTACCAATTTAATGTAGGTTGGTTATGCAACCTCGTTAATATTATTTACAAAGCTTCACATCAAGCATATCTTTTTATGTTTAGATCAAGGCTATGTTCTGAACGTGTCCAGTTCTGGTCTTTAAATTTTGACACATTTTCTTACTTTAGTGAGAGATAAGCCCTGGCCCAGAAATTGCTATATTTGGTGTGACCCCTG